ACGTGGGAAGGGGACCCTCGGTGGGCCTGGGTCGTCAAATTTTGACTTTTATTTAAATAAGATTACAAAGGACTCGGACTGATGACAATGAGTAGCTGGGGGCTGTGGACTTCAGTCTCAGGGGGTCACAGTTTGAGGGATGAAAGCAAGGGGCCTGGGTTTGCAGTCTCCTGTGATGAGGCCTAGAACATTCTGGCTCCCTTTCCTAGTCCTCTTTCTCCCATGGGCCTCTCATACTCTGACAACTCTATTTGATGATAAACACTATTCCCTCCCCTCCCAACAGATTCATCAAGCTCTTTTGTTTGTTTGTTTGTTTTTGAGATAGGGTTTCTCTAAACCTCTGGAGCCTGTCCTGGAACTCACTCTGTAGACCAGACTGGTCTCGAATTCACAGAGATCCGCCTGTCTCTGGCCTCCCGAGTGCTGGGATTAAAGGCATATGCCGCCACTGCCTGACCTTCATCAAATTCCTAACTTCTGTCTCTTCTGGAGATAAAATGCTTGGATTTATCATCCTCTGTCCCCATCTCTCTCTTCTCTCCACGACCTTCAGTGTTCTCTGTATTTATGGACACTTGGTCATTCGGAGCTCCTCTCTGACCTCTCTGAGTTCACCTGTAAGGAAGCAGCCTGCCCTCCACAGGCAGGCAAGCTGGACTCTCAGCCAACCCCCTCAGCTGCAGCCTTCTCTCTCATGACTGGCCCAGTCTCTTCAGGCCCCACCCTGTCATGCTTTTCTGCTTCTGAAGAAACGAGACACCAGGGCAGAGGCTGGTGATTAAAGCCTGCTGCCAAGGCCTCCTAATGCCAGGTCTCTGCGGCAGGCAAAACAAAGACCATCTCCTTTGTCTCCAGTGCTTCCTTATTCTTGCTCCTCAGCCCCATGCTAAGAGTTGACAGGCTGTCTGTACCCTACAGCAGGCTGGGGGTGCTGTGGAGGAGGTGGTCCCCATGACCTGATGCAGAGCCGAGATGAGGCTCCACCTCCGACCTGGGGAAGAAGACAATGACGCTGAGTCATCGACAGTTTGTTAATAGCCTTTGATGCATTGAGAGCTTCAGAATAATAGTGGCCTGGGTGGTGTGTGTACACGTTCGTGTGTGTGTGTGTGTGTGTGTGTGTGTGTGTGCACTCGTGGTTAGCTTTTCCTAGGTCTTTGTTGTTTTGGTCTCTGTGTCCTTTCAAGTTACTCTTCCTACATCAGAGACCTCTGGATACAGGTTCTTCATGTTTTGTATGAGATGACCCCTAAGGTTTGAGATCTTAAGGGAATGTCTTCCGCACAGAGGCCTTAATAACCCTTATCCTACAGAAGGACTGTTTCAACGTGTGACTTCTTGCCATCTAGTACAGCAGAGGGCACATGGTTGGTGCTTGCCAGGTCCCTGACTACAGCTGTGTCTGCCAGCCTCCTGCCTGTCAATCAACAGGAACACATCAGTCAGAGCAGCCATGTTGGTCATACTTGTTATTAAGTTTAAGGAGGAACACAGTCCAGGCCAGAAGACATGGCTGCCAGAGGCATCCTTGGTACCAGCCACTTCCAGAGGAATCGGCAGGCTAGGCCTTCCCAGGGTACCTCCATGCCACTGGAGGGGGAGGCTGGGGTGTTAGAAGACAAATGCCAATCTAAGGACACTGGGCATTAGGCCATTTCCTAATTTTACCTCTGGCCTGTTACAGAAAGGACATGGGAAACACCACCCATGGTTTAAAATATTTTCCCTTTGTGTGTGTGCATGTCTGTGTGTGGGGGTACATGTTCATGACCTCAGGTGTCATTCTTTATATGTTATCCATCTTGGTCTCACTGGCCTGGGACTCTCAGAGTAGTCTGGGATGGCCGGCCAGTGAGCCCCACGAATCCACTTGTCTCCACCTCTCTAGCACTGGGATTACAAGCAAGCACCAACCACCAAGCCTGGCTTTTTAGAGTTTTGAGGATTGACCTCAAGTTCTCATGCTGGCAAGGGAAGTGGTAAAGATCACATTATCTCCCTAGCTCCAATCCAAAATATTTTCTAAAAAAATTATGTACATGTTAAACTAAACAGCAGATGTTTAGCATGGTTTCACAAAAGCACACTTTGGAATCCAGCAGAGCTGATTTGTTCTCAGTCCCTCCCACTTTAGCTGTACAGCCTTGAAAGCTTAGTGTTTGTAAGTGTTGATCACCTTATTTATTAAGCAGGGTCAATATTTATTTTTAAGAGGCTGTTGTGAAGATTGGAGAGGATAAGGCACATGCTGTACAGTCTTCATATCTTTTATCTGTCTGAGCTGGGTAGAGTGGCTGCATTCACTCACAGAGAACCACCTTTTTAGTGTGGAGATCCGGCCTGGGCTCCCTGGAGTCGTCTTGGCTCTCATAAAGCCCACATTCCGTCAGAGAGAGGGAAAACCAGAAGGCTGACACAGAAGCCGGCCATTGCAGTCAGGGAGGGGAGCTACAAGGACAAGCTGTAGTGTTTGGGTATTGGTCCCCAGGGTGGATAGGGTGGTGGCATTTGAATTGAGAACCCAAGGCTGAGAGCTCAAGCCTGCTAAAACCTGGAGACGTGCCATGCAGGCAAAGAAAACAATAGGGCAAAGCATATTACGGCGGGGAGATGCCTGCAGGTGCAGTGGAACTGGGGAGCATGGGAGAGGTGACGTCACAGGGCTAGCTCCAAGTTGTCCCTACGCTTGGAGTTGAGGTGTTGGGGTGCCAGGGTGAACCCATAGAGACCTTACAAGTCTAAGGTGACATATGTCTGTCCGGCTCCATGCGAATGACTAACCAGCTTAGGATGCTTCTCGGTCTCAGCCTCAGATTCTGTGTGCTCTTGGATAACATCTTCATGGAGCTGGGTTTTCAGAGGTTGCTGGAAGGAAGCAAGTGTATTGGTTACTTTTCTCACAAGACAACAGACAAAAGCTACTTAAGGAAGAAAGGACTTAGGGGTAAAACATGGCAGCAAGAGCAAGCTGCATGAGGCCATGTTGCAAGCTGCAAGAGGCCATGTTGCAAGCTGCAAGAGGCCATGTTGCAAGCTGCATGAGGCCATGTTGCAAGCTGCATGCGGCCATGTTGCCTCCACAGTCAGGAAGCAAAGAGCGGGGTGCTTGGCTTCAGCTGTTTCTCCTTTAATTCAGACTCAGGCCCCAGACCATGGGATGGTGCCAACCACAATTAGGGAATCTAGGAATTTTCCAAGACACGTCCAGTGGTGTGTCTCCTGGGTGATTCCAGACCCTGTCAAAGTGACAATATTAAGAATCCTGGGAAAGTCAGTATAGGAACAGAGGGTGTGGCAGGCAGTGTTTAACTTAATTACAAGGTCTCAAAGTTGTTGTGACCTTTTTAAAAGAAAGAATTAAAGCCATGCTTTCCAGTGGTTTTTGTTGTTGTTAGTGACTAGTCAGTAGTTAGGACACCGACTTCTAAGAACTGACTTAACTAGCTAGGAGGCCAACGAGAGCTTGAAGACTGCTGGGCAAGTCGCTGAACATCTTTCCTACTCCAAGTCTACAGATTGTTGTTGGTATTTTCATAAACTCAGGTGTGTGTGGCTAAGTTAAAAAGGTCATCTGAATCTGTTTTTGTGGGTCTCCAAGCTGTGTTACTACTGGGGACACCTGGAGGAACTTGCACCAGTATTAACTAGTTAATTAACCAATAGCATCTTGATTTCTGCTGTGGGGATTCTTCCATTTGTATCTGAGACACCAGGATGGCTCACCTTGAGGCTAGCTAACCCAGATTTGTGAGGCCTGGTGGTTATGGGGTGCCTGGGAGCCAGGTGTATGGTCTTTCTGGATCGATTTTTGATTCAGGTAAAGCGAGGGGTATATGTGAGCCTTGGCATGAGCCAAGGGGAAGGTAGGCATAGGCACACGCATTTCCAACTCTAATTTGCGCGGGCAGCATGAGTGACCCAGTAGATGTCTCCTTCAACTAGAACAGTCACCACCTTGCAGGGCCAGGGTTTCCTTGTGAATTCTGCCACCGGCGGCTCTAGGCAGGCGGACGACAGGTGGCAGCAGAGACCCACAAGCAGCTAGGTCGCAGGCAGCCCCAGGGCGAGGACAACACCAGGGCTGGGGTGGGCGCGGCTCCTTTCCTGGGCCCTGGGCTGGCTGGGAGAGGGAGTCCTGAGGCTGAGGTTGGTCTCTGGAGCAACGAAAGGTAGCTCCATGCCTTTGGGAGGGCTGGCGTGGGAGCTGGAGTTAGCTCAATCAGCGAGGCACGACACACTCTGGTTTAGTCTTTATGGCTTGTGGGGAGAAAAGTCATGGAGCACTGCAAACCCCGGTACATCGCTGCCTCAGTATGGCATGGTGTGAGAATTGTTTGGGGTGTGTGTATCGGGAGAAGAGGGATTAAAAAAATTCGCTTTGTGGATACCGGAAACCCCTAGAGATTTATTTATTTATTTTAAATCAGAATATTGTCCTTTCTTTAGGACCCCAGCAAAGAGCAGTCCTTTAGAACCTAAATTTCTCAGGGCGTGTCAGTGACTGAATCGGACCACCCTTCTTAGCAAGAGAAAGGTTAACTTAGGTACTGGAGACGCTAAGAGGATGGAAGGTCCTTTAATTGGTCCCTGCCAGGCAAACCTGAGACCAGCACATCCAGAGAAGGTCAGGATTCTTCTTATTAAAAAGCTGATTGCCCTTATCCAATCCGCGAAGGCTTTAGGGAGAATTGATGAACACTGAGGACAACACGATTAGTTTGTGCATTGCTTTATTCTCATTATTTTGTGAAAAAGGAAGCCTCTGTTCTCATACTTCAATAAATTATAGGATTATTCTCTACACTCTGTTTTCTTGGGTTAGGGAAATGGTGGGTATGGCCCAATGAACTTTAAGTCAGAAACTGATTCTTCCCCACCATTCATTATCGTAATTGTGAAAAATAATTTTTCTCAGACTCATTTAAAACAGGAAACAAATTTTACCAATTAGGATAGTACTTGCAGTGTCTGCTACCTGTCCCAATTTCAGGCCTAAGTGATTTCTGCGTGTGACCATAGTTAACATGAAAGCCATCCCTATGCTCTGAGTCAGCAACGGCAGGGATGACATTGGACAAGATGTCATCATAGATGTCAACGGTAGGGATGACATTGGACAAGACCAATATGGATCCTCACGAATCTGGCACCGGGTGGATCTGCCCACAGGTATGGAGGGGACCACACTGTACATGGAGTTCTTACTTGGTCTGAGTAATACAAACCCAGAGTCAGATATAGAGGAAACTGCTGAGGGAAGGAGCAGACCACCACCATACCTTACTTCCTTAGCATCTCAGCAGACAAGAGAAGAGTTCCTGTTTCTCCCTGCTTATATCCTGTTTCTACCCAGCTACCTCTCTGTCTGTACAGACCTCCAGACCTCTATGGTTAGCTAGTGGCAAACTCCATTTTCTGACCCTCAGGTAGGCTTTATTTGTACAAGCATGACATCACCGCACCACACTGACCCGTGACTCTGCTGTTCTTTGATGTTAAGCTTCAGGAATCTTTACCAAGGAGGAATGGAAACACCTGAAGGCCTAAATAACATTTGAACATTGGCTCTTTTCAGATTCCTTCAAGGAATTTAATGTTCTTTTCTGTAACAAATACAAACGATATTGGGTGGAGATACCATGAGGCAGAGGCCAAGTGTTGTTTATTCTTTAATGGCCAGCCCCTACTTCCCTATATAATGCTTGAGAAGGGTGTGGCCATGGTACACTGCACATGCTCCATCCATGGCACCCTACACCTGTGCATGTCCAGGAGGCACTGATTGGACTCAGGGGGTTATTTAGAAAAAAAGAAGAGGGTGTGAAGCTGGGAGGGGAGGGGTGTGTGTGTGTGTGTGTGTGTGTGTGTGTGTGTGTATTGGGGTGGGTGTGTCTGGGAGGTGTGGGGCTGGATATGATCTAAACACATTGTGTTCGAGTCTGAAATTGCCAAAGAATAAATAAAATTAAATGTATGCAGTTACCAAACAATATTTCTCTTGTTAAAGAACAAAGGGGTCTTAGTGTTTACTTTTAGACTCTGAGCTGCACAGAATGAAGAAACTCGTGTACTTTTGCTTCTGTCTCCAGGGAGGTGTTTGAGTTTGGGGTCTGAGTTACCATTTAATTACTTTTTTGGTGTTGTATGGCTTTCCATTCTAGCATGTTCTTGAGATTATGGAGGCTTTGTAACTATGCTTCAACAAACATGGGACTGATCTCTGATCTCTGTTGAACTGGATCCTATGCCCACTGCCTATCCTTCTACTTCCCATTCTTTTTCAAAATTTCCTATGCCAGCTCATCACTTGGGAAGCTGAAGTGTAAATTAATAAAGTGATTTAAAGAAAATGTGAGTAGCATGCATTCTGAATGTGGTCCCTTTTGAAACGCTAGAGTCTTTTGGAGAGTAAATTCTTGAGTCTGTATCCTTTCAATGTCAGAACTCAGTAACTTTATTGTTGTAGAAATGAAGACTAGGCCAGCTGAGTTTATATTTTTTATGCCTTTTTCTCATTGCATTCCTCTCTCTCTCTCTCTCTCTCTCTCTCTCTCTCTCTCTCTCTCTCTCTCTCTCTCACTTTCCCTCTCTCTTTCCTTTCAGGATACACACATAACTGTTTATATTATTGCTGCTGTCTAGAATTAAGGGACTTGCTGGAATATTTCTGGACCCGACTTTCTCTTGACTCCTCGTTATTTCCTTCTCCTCCACACCTCACCCATTTTTTTTGAAGTGGGGTCCACCTTTGTTGCCCAGGCTAGCCTCAAAGGCCTTGACTTAAGCAATCCATTTTCTTTAGTCTCCTAAATACCAGGACTAAAGGTGACGCCTACCTCTTGCTTTTGTTATTGGTACCTGAGGAACATTTCTTTCTTCACAGCTTCACGTAGTGTTTATTTTTGGAATGCTTTCTTTTATTATGTCTTCAGTTGTTGCTCCCCTTTCCCATTTTGAATTCTTCAGAAACATAATTTTTATGCTGAGTTTTTTCTTGGTTTTCTGTTGCTATTGTCTTCTGATAATAACTGTTTCTAATGTAATTAATGCTTCTAGTATTGGTTATATTTTTGAAATCACTGTCTTGTAATATTATTTGAATTATTTTAGGATAATGTCTATTTTGAATTGGTCTTAGCCCAGTCCTCAAACTCCTATGATCATGTGATCTTTCTGTTCTTGGCCTCCTGAGTAGCTGGGACTATAGGTGTGAGCCACCATACTGGCTTCCTGTATGCTTTGACAACACTTTCCTTTGTTACTTGTACATAAAATCATAGTGTAATCTGTGACATAATGCTGTAATTATAGCCCTGTGAAATTGCTAAATTGATCACACCAGATCTCAGTTTGATCTGTTTTGTCTGTTCTTGAGGACTTGGCAGTGTCTTTTGTCTTCATTTGCTTTGTTTGACATGTAATGTCATGTGTGTGTGTGTGTGTGTGTGTGTGTGTGTGTGCATGTATATATGCATATAGCTCAGTTATAAATGTAATAGCTTCCTTTCTTAAGTCTTGTAAAGAACATTTTTTCTTAAGAAACTAAAAAGAAAGAAAGAAAGAAAGACCCAAAGAGAGGATTTCAACCATGATTCCACTAACAGCCTTTTGCTTCAGGAATATCGAATTACATCCCGCTGCTCTAATTCTACTCCTTTCTATGCGCACAGTGACTTCTTGTTTCAATGCCAAACCATAGTGGAATCTTTTAAAAGACATTTTAAGTGGCAATTAAATTCACATGTAATCACAACAAAGTACATAACTCAATTAAAGAGCTCACAACAGGCACAGCCGAGACCAAGTCTACTGGAGCCTGGGCTGTGACAACCTTATCATGACAGATCCCTGGTGCATTGTGACTGTAAGACGTCACCGACTGCATGTCTTCACCCATTTGTAAAAAACAGACCCTGTAGAGCTTATGAAATAAGGCCGTTCTGACAATGTTTGTCACCCATAATATATCTTGGATAGTATACTATGCCCACTCTCCTCATTTATTACTTCTCACATACAGTTTTTTATTGTTTAATAATTATTTAATAAATACTAGTTTTTACTTACAGGTACCCAATAGGTATATGAAACAGCTAATCATCAGAAATGCAAATTAAAACTTCGATAAGTATTCTCAATTCTCATTTACCTTTCTCTGCTGCTTTAGTAAACATCATGATTAAAGCCCCCTGGGGAGGAAAGGGCACATGTCATCTTACAGGCTGCAGACCATCATCAAGGATATCAGGGCAGGGATACAGCGGAAACCTGGGGCAGCGACCTTGGAGGAACTAGGTCTGCTCCCAGGCTCACATCAGCACCTTTTTATACAGTCCAGACCCACCTGCCTAAGGACAGCAGTGGGTTGGGCCCTTCTACATCAGTTAACAATCAGGATGCAGGTCCTCAGGCCAGTCGGATGGAGGCAGTGTTTTAACCGAGGTTCCTTCTCCCCAAACCTGTTGAGCTGAAGATTAGTCGTCACAAAAGATACCACCCACATTGTTAGAATAGCTATTATCAAAAAAGACAAAACAGTGTTGACAAAGATGGGGATAAATTAGAATTTATGTAGAATGCTTGTGGAAATGTAAATTACTACCATTCTGGAAAACTATGTGGATGCTATTTAAAAATTAAACATGGAACTCTCATATTATTTAACGATTTCATTGTATCCAAAAGATGTTAACCAGGATGTTCAAGAGATGTCTATACTCCTACGTTCATTTTGCAGTTTTTTATAGTGGTCAAAATAACGAAATTTCTGTCAGCAGGTAGAAAATGATGTGGTGTGAAATACCATTCGGAGATTCTGAGGCTTGGATGAAATGGAAAATATTATGTTAAGTGAAATAATCCAGGCACAGAAAATGATGCTCTGAGATCTTGCTTCTATGTGGGATCTAAAATGGTTGAATTCATAAAGATAGACCATAGGATGGTGTTAAAAGGGTTTTGGGGAAGGGAAAGTAGTTGTCAAAGAATGCAGTTATCAGGAGGAATAAGTTTAAGAGACTTAAAGATGCAAGGTAATTCACATGCTAATTAGCTTGATGTATCAATTCCTAAATGCATGCATATTGTAACCATCTTATTTTGTTAAATATATTTAACTTCCATTATATTATTAAATATCATAATATTATATAACATAATACATTAAATTTTCATTTGTCTTGGATTTTATTTGTGACATTGATTTTCAGGTAAAGCTCCAAGACTTTGGGTAATTTTCTTTTAAGATTTTTAATAAAAATTGCATATGAGCCGGGTGGTGGTGGTACACACCTGTAATCCCAGCACACGGGAGGCAGAGGCAGGTGGAGCTCTGAGTTCCAGGCCAGCCTGGTCTACAGAGTGAGTTCCAGGACAGCCAAGGCTACACAGAGGAACTCCGTCTCGATACAAACAAACAAACAAACAAGAAAACCCCAAACAAAAAGTATGTGGATGTTTTGCTTGCCCCTTGTGCATTCAGTGACTGTGGAGTCCAGAAGAGGGTGTTAGATCCCCTGGAAGTGGAGTTACAGACACTTGTCAGTCAGCATGTAGGTGCTGGGAATAGAACCTGGGTCCTCTGGAAGAGCAGCCAGTGCCCTTAATAGCTGAGCCACATCTCTAGCCCCACGGGTAATTTTCAAAAGGAACACAAACCTCAGTTTTAAACTGTTAGACAGTTGATAGCATTTTCTTTGCTCTCCATCTATTATGTAATTTAATGCATGAGTTGAAGACATTCCGTATTGCTTGGCTCTGGGTGAATATTTGTAACTTTCCAACAGGATTTCAATGGTCACTAGGGACCTGCAGCGCGTGACATTAGAAGGCGAGATAGGAAGAACCGGGAAACAACCCCGGTACTGGCATAGGTAAGTAAGATGCAGAGCTGCAGTTAAGAGTTACAAACGGAAGCCGGGCGGTGGTGGCGCATGCCTTTAATCCCAGCACTCTGGAGGTAGAGGCATCTCTGGTGAGTTCAAGGCTGGGCTGGACCAATAGCCTCCAAAACAATACAGAGAAACCCTGTCTTGTAAAAACCAAAAAAAAAAAAAAAAAAAAAAAGAGTTACAAATGGGTTGTCTCCATGGATCTTTCCAGCAAATGCTCTCACCCCCGCTCTCAGGTATTCATCTGGGTTGAACTGAAGGACAAGACTGTTGAAAATGCAGACGAGCTGTTGGCCCTGGCCCACATGGAGAGAGAGTATGCCGGCCGGGCTCCTGGACGTGAGTTGGTAGTTGAAAGCTACTGGCCCATCAGACAGCAAGCCTGTGAGATCTGACCTGATCGCTTTCCTGTGTCTCCCCCACTGTACCCCACACTGTGGGTGTTAGGAGGGGAATGAGCTGAGCTGCCGCAGGCGGAACGCTCACTGAGCACGAGGTGAGGCACATCCAGGAGATGATCCTTTCCTTCTGTGCCTTCAAGGGACCTTGTGGGTTGGAATAGGATGAGGTTAAATGACAGAACCGAAAGACATGAGTCCAGTCTTCCTTTGGTTTCGCAGCCACCGAGCAAACGTGACACAGGAAGCCGGAAGAGTAGGTACCACCATGACAGCACTTCACAGTTTATGAGGTGCTTATGGTTTATGTGGGCTAGAAATGGTTATTGCCACTTTTATTCATACGAGGACCCCTGAGCCCTGAGACATGAGGTGACCTGCCCTTGGTGAAATGGTCAGTAAACAGGGCCGGAACTTGAACCAGAGTCCACTTGTCACCTGATTTCTTTCTCTTAACAGTCACACAGCAGTGCCTGTTACACTGAAGTTTGAAATGCTGACCCTCCATGGCTTTCCCACTGAGGCTGATCTAAGGAAGCTGGGTTGTGGCTTGGCTGCCAGGGTTTTCAAAGCTTCTCAGGCGATTCCAGCCACGCCAAGCACTACTGCTGTCTGCTCTCCCCACTCCAGAGGCTGGAGATCAGCTTCTGCTGACCCATCCTTCTCTACTGTGACAAGAACCCCCGTGGATCGATCACCTTAGACATCAGGTTCTGAGGGCAGAGACTTTGCATTTGGGACCAGCTTTCAGGTGATTCTGTGGCTCTGGGAACCACAAGGAAAGGGAGATAATCTGATAACCACACCTCCCTGACACTGACCACCTGCAGTCACTTAGTGTCACCTACTTAGTTTCCACAATGGTATGAATTTTACTAGAAGGTGTCTGAGTGAAAACCACGTCTTACAACTTGCATGAGGCTCCAGTCCTCACAGCTGGACAGCTCCTTTCTCCTGCCACTGAGTTTGCTCCCATGGATCCTGAACCTGGCCACTTCTGCTTCCAGGATTTAGCATCTCAAATTGCCTCATTGGCCTATGTCGGCCCCATCTTGGGGTACTAGAAGGCATGAGGGAGGCAGGACTGTGAAGATTAGAAGATAGTTGAGCTCTGATCTTGTGGCCTCCTGGACTTTTGACCTTGAGCAAGTTTTCTGACGTCTCTGAGCCTTACTGTCCTTACATATAGAGGCATGAAGATGGCCACCTCATATCGGTGTGATGCAGTAAGAAGATGTATATATATATATCAGAGACTGCCATGCTCAACAACCAATAATTATTTCACTGAGGAAATTAGAAAAAAGTTTTTTCTCTCTTTTTGAGACAGGGACTCACTATATGTAGCCCTGGCTAGCCTTGATTAGCTGCGTACACCAGGCTGGCTTTTTTTTTTTTTACTTCGTTGATTCTTTGTGGATTTCACATCATGCATTCTGATCCCACTTATATCCTTGTCTCCTCAAACTCACCCTCTGCCCTTACAACCCCTCAAATTAAAACCAAATGTAAAAGAAAAACCAACAACCAATCAAAGAAACAAAATAAAAACAATAACAATAACATCAACAAAAAATTTTGTTGTGAATGCTGTAGTGTGGTCTGTTGAGTCGCACAGTTTACCCTTTAGTCTGTTCATCTTTACTTGCAAGTGTTCATTGCCGCAAGTCTGGCTTGAGGACTCTGGTTTCTGCTTCATCATCAATAATGGGCTCTCACTGGGGTTCCTCTTGGATATCCTGTTGTTGTCCTGTGTCATGGAGGTCCTGCTGTTTTGGATCTGTAGGTTTGTCTACTTCACACGCTCCAACAGTTTATAGATTTGGTGGATGCTGGGGTGGGCCAACTCATAGCCCTGGTTCTGGTCCTGGGTGGTAGCTGGGGTTGATCAGCTTGCTAGCTTTCCCTCCTTGTCATTACCTGGATGAGCTCTCCAACACTGCCTTAGCTAGCTCATCCAATGCAGCCTATAGTAAGGAGCTGGGACCATTTCTTCTGCTCTCGGATCCTCAGATCAGGGTGCCCCTCACCAGGACGACTTCTAACTCACAGAGAGTGGCCTTCCTTTGCCTTCTCAGTGCTGGGATTAAAGGGGTATACCACCACACAGTGTAGGAATAAGCTCTCACCGAATATCCGGCATACCATCTATAGTAGATGACAGCTCTGAACCTCAGAACAACTTTGCAAGGTTCACATAGTTTTCTCTATTGTACAAATGACACAACTGGAATTAGATAGAGCAGCAACTCACCTACGGATGCACATCGAGGAAGCTTTAGGACCAGAACTTGCTTCTGACTTGTCTGGCGTTGACAGAGCTGTGAGTGTCTGGAGCACAGGAAGCAGCGGGTCAGCCTAGCTGTCTGTGAGGAGAGAGAACAGCACACAGAGGGCTGGAAGCAGGCTTCCTGCTCCCTCTTTTCCTGGTGGGTAGGAACAGCAGCAGGCTAAGAGGTGGTCAGGTCAGAAAGTGACTTCAGTGGCCACACAATAATACACTGCCCGCTTGCCTATGACTCAAGGGGTCCACAGGGCCTTCTGCCCCTTCTTAGGAACAGAGAGCAGTTTTTGGTGTATGCAAGGGTAGGCAGGTGGCAGCAGGTGTGAATGCAGCGGATGGGGAATGAATGACGTCTCCCTCTGGCACCAGCCTGGGTGGGAATGGCACCTGGAGGGCTCCCAGTCAGTTTCCATGTAAGCAGCCCCTGGGGATGGGTGGCCCACGCCCCCACTGCCTCCCATCAGACACCCATGCGTGTCATCTCAAGCCTCTGCCTTTGCATGCGTGGGGGAGCCAGGCTGTCGATGGGAAACGGAAATCTTAGCTTGATGTCCTCTCTGACCAGGGAAGCGCAGTGTGATGGCCCACGCTGTGCGACAGGACAGTGACTGACCCTTAGCTTACCCTGTCCCATCCTGCCTCTTGTCACAGGCGCAAGGTGAACGCATTTCATAGATGATGGGAGGGAGCTTCGCCGCACAGGTGCTGGCTTGATTTTGCTTGGTGGGAAAACACCTGGTCTCGTCTTCCAGTCTTCTACCAGCTCTGGGAGCTCCAAAGCTGAGCTGTTCGCCTGAAAAGATCTGCATATTTTACACGAGTAGGGGCACACAAACCTTGTGATAAATGCTTTATTGCGTAGCTGGATCCACTTTTCATTCTTTTCTTTTTAAGTCAGGATAATCTTGATGGGCTTTGAACTTTTGGTCCTCTCGACTCTGCCTCCTAAGTGCCGAGATTCCAGGTACATGCTGCCACCACACCCTGCTTATGCAGTGCTGGGAACTGAACCCAGGGCTTTGTGTCTGAAGGATAACTATGCTGCCCAGGCGGGGAAGGACGTTTTCAGAACAAGAACAAGGATCCCCTCCCTATGTAATTGCCAAATTGAGGTCCTTCTAGCTAGGTGATTTATATTTTTGGAAGGAACATTTTGGAATTCCTTAATTTTTTTATTTCAATTTGCATTCCAACCACAGTTCTCCCTCCCACACCTCCTCCCAACCCCCCCTTGCCTCCTCCCATTCCCACCTTACCTCCCCCCCTAGCCCACCCCCCAGTCTACTCATCATGGGTAAGGGCTCCCATGAGGAGTCAACATACTCCGGCATAACAGGTTGGGGCAGGGCCAGGCCCCTCTCCCATGAATTAAGACTGAGCATGGCATCCCACCATTGGGAGTTGGGATCCAACAAACTAGCTCACGTGCCAGGTTTGTATCGTGGTCCTACTGCCAGGGGTCCCTCTGATAGTCCAAGCTTCACAATTGTCTCCCACATATTGAAGGTCTAGTCTGGTCCCCTGTAGTCTCCACAGTTGTAGATCTAGGGTTCATAAGTTTCCACAAGCTTAGTTCAGCTGCCTCTGTATATTTCTTCACCATGGTCGTGATCTCCTCCTTCCTCCTCCTCTTGATCTCCTTCTTCCTCTCTTCGACTGGATTCCCGGAGCTCGGCCTGGTGCTTGGTTGTGGATCTCTGCATCTGGGATGAAGACTCTATGATTGTTGGGATATTCATCAATCTGATTACAGGGGAAGGCCAGTTCCGGCATCCTCTCTACTATTGCTAGGAGTCTTATCTGGGGTCCTCCTTGTGGATTCTTGGGAGTTATCCTAGCACCAGGTTTCTCCCTAAGCCCACAGTGGCTCTCTCTATTAAGATATCTTTTTCATTGCTCTTCCACTGCATCCCTCCCCGCCTAGGCCACCTCTTCCCTCCTGTTCTCATCCCCTCCCTCTCCCTTAACACCCCCACTCCTAGTTTACCCTGTGGGTCCCTCTTAGGGTCCTCCTTGTTACCTTAGCTAGGTAAAACTTTATGTTAACTTTTCTTGTGCATTTCATGATTGAATACTACGTAAACTTCCCCTTTCTCCTTGTGTTTTGCATGATGAGTTTAGGACTCATTAATGATTCTGCCTGGATCAATTATTACTGTGCAGTTGGATTCACTTATAAAGACAACACAATTATCAACAAAGAAACAAACGAACTTTCTAGGGCTTATTTATTGGCAGGAGTGCAGCATCTTGCACATCCCAGGCACTGTTTGCTCGGTTCTCTTCATAGCTTTGGTTCTGTTTAGTGCAGCTTAGTCAGTTGTTAAGTACACAGTGTTGACTGTCACATATACACGGCTGTGTTTACAGTTAGGGTGACAGTATCTCGACGGATGCCGGATCATTCTATCTGATTCATTCTCGTCTTTCAGGGAGAACGGTCCCCTTGCAGCTGAACACCACCTCCTAAATTTGATCTGAACTTAAGCTCTGTCTCCTTCTATTTAGAGCCAGGATATGTGGTGTTAGTCTTCTCACTCCAGCGGTTCTAATTTCCACTCGGGATGGAACCTTTCTTTGCCAGTGACTCAGCATTTTATGGCCTGACATTTTAAGAGAACCACTTTGCTATTGAACTGAAGCCATATATTAAAGTTAAACCCTGAAACAAGCATGGGTCCAGCAAAGGTTAGACAAATATAAGACAATTTGTCACACCTCCTAGTCCACAGTTCAGGGCAGATATGAAATGAGACTTTGGAACCAGGGTGCACTGGGGTCTCTGACCTCAATATCTTCTTGCCTTTCCTTTTTTTTAAAACCCAGATAAAGTCTCACTAAGTAGCCCAGGCTGGTCCGGCACGTCCTATGCAGCCCAGGCTAGCCTTGTGCTCAAAGCCTTCCTCTTGTTTCCCTGGTTTCAGGAGAAGCATCCAGATTCAGCCAGACCCTCTCTTGGCTGCATTTACAGAATAGAACATTCTGTGTTCAGATTTGGGGCCCTAGGACAGAATATTTAAGGCAGGCTTAAAAAGTTGGACTTCCAAATTGGGAAAGTAGTAAATCTGGAGTGAGTTGTTATTGATTTTTGTCTCATACTGAGGAAGAATGGATGAGCTCGGGAAGAAAGCCTTCCTGTCTGAGCATCTAGCAGCAGCCTGTCAATGGAGCAGTCGGCCTTCCTCCATCGTTTATTTCTGGCTCACAGAAGTGCAGAAGCTTTCTCTGCCCCAGAATGCTGGCCAGGAAAGCAGCAGCAGCTATTCTAGTGTAAGCCTTTCTGTCTGTGTCTACCTACATAAGAAGAGTGACCCAGGGCACTTCCTTTCCCCAGCCTTGCTGTGTCTTGCTCTTTCTGAGAATGGAAGGGGAAGCAGAAGTAACCGGGGAGGAGAGTGCTGAAGCTGCCGAGTGGGGTGGGGGTGGGGGAGCTGATGCAGCTGCTTCCTTCTCTGTCCCTTTCAAGTTCCCTCCTCAATCCTATTATTCTGGGAACCCAATTATTCTAAGGAGGCCCCATGTCCCTTACAGATTCTGCTCATTTCTCCCAGTCCATCACAAACTTGTTTGCTCTTTATCGAACAGACTTAATTAAAGTCAACATCACCCATAGCCCTTGTACCATCTCTGTCTTCCACAGGCTTGCATAACATTGCATGCAGAACTTAAGTTAGCACCATTCTTCATCCATCCATCCATCCATCCATCCATCCATCCATCCATCCATCCACCCATCCATCCATTACTTAGTGCCTCTTCTAAGCTAGGTTAGGTGTTGTGTTCAGCATCTATTATTGTGACACCTCCACAGCTCCTTGCCTAGGCAAGTCTGATTTCTCAGACGGGACAGCTTTGGGGGGTGGCTCCAGTCTTACATTACTCTGTCATGTAGGGACATAATGCCTGCGTTTATCTTTCCTGGCACTACAAATCAGTACTCACCAGCAGACTGCTAGAGGGTATCACTCCAGTATCCAGCATAGGAGATTGTCTTGACTGACCCCTTGTGGCAGGACAGCCCTATCCATAGGAAACAAGTCCTTATTTGTCACTCTGAAGACTGCCAAGCACAGTAATTTCCCAACTGTGACAAGAGCATCCCAGGGGGACAGACTGCAAAAGGAAAGCTCAGTGGTGTCTACTGAGTGTCATGAAGGTGTAGTGTGGATTGCCACCTGGTGGGAGAGGGAGAGGTTGGAAGTGGGAAAATTCAAACTATTACTTGAAGCATAGTAGTGATGTCACCAGATCTGAGGTTTAGAATTACTTCTCTCTGTGT